TAAATTAAATCCGTTGAGTATTATTGTACCTTTCATCAAATTACTGTTTATAGTCATTGCCGAATGTCCTTTCGAATGACCACCTCAAATCAAAAATTTGTAAAAAAATTATACTGACCGGTCAACACCCCGGTCGTCCACCTCAAGGCAAAAAAATAGAAAAAATTACACTAACCGGTCGATCGACCAAACATTTGCCTGGTCGACCGGTATTCTAATGAAATTCTAAAATCTTCCGTTGAAATATTTGATATCAAAGAAAATTTTTACTCAAATTTAATATAAAAATTAATGTACCATTAAAGATACTCTAACACACATCAGAAAGAAACTCACAATTTAAATTTTACAGTTCACTTATAATGGTGTTAGGTGCAGATAAAATAAGTTATTTATAATTTATTTTAATTTGAGAATGTTTTAGATTATTTGATTTAACTTTTATTTATAATTTATTAAGTAGAAATAATTTAAATAGATTTAAAAAAATTAATTATCTAAAAATTAACAAAAAAGATGTTTTACATTTTACTTATTAATTATTAATTATTAATTTATAATAAATTATACCAAACAGATTTATAATAAAAAAAATTGTAAATAAATTAAAAATTGACATATAATATATCATGTACCATATAATTGATCGTACATTTTATGAGTCCATACATGATAGATAACATGCATGATGCATGTCTTTCATCAATATCCAATTTCATCACTCGTTGGTCTGACATGAGTAGTTTGTCGGCTAGTGGATACTTTTTTGTTGAGTTGCCATCACATGCTCATATCCAATGTATCCTTCCCCTCAACTGAGAATCAAAACAACATAGTACTGATTTTTTTATTATTTATTTGAGCATTGATAGAAACCCTCTCCAATCACTACCTCCACAATCCCACACACATGTGATAGGTGGTGATTAGAGAAGAAAGAAAAAAAAAACAAAAGAAAAAGTAGCCAATGAAAAAAGAGAGGGGGTCAAAGGGGTGAAGGGAAAGGGGATCTTAAACATTTTTGTATTTATTTATTTTTAAAAGTCAAAATTAATTTTTTTATTTATAAAAATCTAATATATGTAACCAAACAACAATGTTTGGACACTTGAATTTTTATGGTTTGAATTATTCGAATGTCTTAAAACGACGTCAAATGATATTATTTTAATACATTCGAGTCATTTGGGCCATACAAATTTGAGCTGTCAAACATCTTTCGTAACCAAAAGCATCAATAAATTAAGGGAAATTTAGAATGATATAAATAAGTATTTTTATTTTTTTTTACAAAAAAGTATGCAAAAAATAAAGAAATGATATGATCCAAATAACATTTAGAGCATCCACATCAAAGTAGCTAAATTTTTAGACAAATTTTACCTAAAAAACTAATTTTCTATTTTAGTTAATCACATTTTCAAGTACATTCTCTAACAAATTCTTTAAATTTTTATTATTATATTTAAATATTATTTATTTATTCTTCTAAAAATCATATTTTTTTTCAAATGGGCATTTTTTTAATTGTCATATATTTTAAGCTGACAATAATCATATTTTTTCAAACAAAAAATGCAAAACTATTATAGTATTCATATAGAATTTGGCACAAGACTAATGTGATAGTAACATATAAATAAATAAATAAATAAATTTGATTTTGATGAGTCTTTTTTTAAATTAAAAATTTGTATTAAATCACACATCATTTTGTATAAATTTTATATTTATATATTATTACCACTCTTTTCAAACCAACCCTTTTTAAATCTGTCATATTTTTTTGAGGTTGTACTCAAAATATTTTAAAGTTGCTCCAATGTCACTGAAACTTTGAGAGAACTTTTATTAATATTTTATCATTTCGTACCAAGAACCGAGTCCACAATCGTTGTCTGCATGTAACAATGGAGTTAGACTCAATTAAAGTCGACAATTGTGCTGTCGGGCCTGAGGAATGCAATTTATGTGAATTTCCTTATCAAAGTAACTAGGCAGTGGGTTTAGCACTTTTAATGTTGATGTTGTTATATTGGTTGTTATGTCAAACATTTTTAAGGCAAATTTAGGTATCTTAGCAAAACTTTTTAATTTCAAATAAATTAAATCCGTTCATGTGCCGTCACTATACCCATAATTGGTAAGGATAGAGTATTTATCACCACACAGGTTAATATTGTATTAAGGTTCCCATAACCTCACACATCATCGTTATATTGATTTAAATAATCTTATTACTCATGTCTGTAATCATAATAAATATTTTTAATACATAAATATGATTACTAAAGCATTATTTAAAAGAATTTATGATTAGTTTTAACGATTGTTTAGAAAGTGTTAAATTAATATATATATATATATATATATTTATAAAAAAAAATGCGAAATATAAAGTGAAATAATAGATAAGTGATATGAATTAAATAAAATGATTGTGACCATAATAAGATAACATGTGTTATTTTAACACATGCCAAACAAAACCTTAATAATCCCAGAATCACACAAGCACATGAAATTCACTCCTAACATATTCGTATCTTATTAAAACGCTATGCTAATTTGTTTGTGGAACTCTTGAAATCTTGAGAATAATCTAGTATTGCGGTCATATTTCGTTAGAATCAACAATTGTGAAAAAGAATTTTATTGTAACTGAACTACATGTTTCGATTTTGAACTAGTCATATCGATTGTGACTCCACTCATGAATCAAATATGAGTTTATACATTTTGATAATGGGCAAATTACATATACCTCCCTCGAAATTTAGTTAAATTACAGATATTTTCTTGAGATTTCAGAAATTACAGATACCTCCATGAAGTTTATATTTTCATAACAAATTGTCCCCTGAGATTTATATTTTCATAACAATTTGCCCCCTAATTTGTTATGCAAATAGTACCTTCAGGGGGTATCTGTAATTTCTCAAACCTCAGGGGGTATCTGTAATTTTGCTAAACCTCGAGGGGTATATGTAATTTGCCCTTTGATAATTGATCAATTAATAAATATGTAATTTTCACTTCAACTATACACTAAAATATATCAATATCTTAAAAAAAAAGAAAAAAACAATACATATATATATATATAAGTTCTATTTTTTAAAAATTATAATGGGGACTTTTTTTTAAACAGAAAAAAAATATTTCGTGAAGGTATCATAGTATCTGTAAATCTTGATTCCGGAATAATCAATTGTCAGTTATATTTAACATAACTCAAAGGAAAAGACTTACCACTAAAATAAGAGAGGAATACTTTAACTCTCAATATAAAATGTTAGAATCGCAATCAAAATACCGTTTAAAAAACTAGTCACTACTCACACCTCCTAAAATAAGCCCAACTCAATTATCATCTTTTCATCCCCCACCACTTCAGTGGCCGTAATGGGGACTTTAGGAATAACTTATGAGCTCCAGTTGTAGGGGCTAATGCCCACCTGCTATTATTTGTACTATGTACACATGCATAAAAAAGTGACAATTATGTATACTTTTGGACAGAATTGAGGTTATAAAAGTTATCTAATATCAATCTATTTTATATGTATTTTTTTTTAAACTTTAGAAATAACTTATGAGCTCC